GGGAGGGGCGCGCGCCGCCGGGGAGGAGGGCAGCCCACCCACCCGCGCCCCGGCCCGGCCCTCACCGCGATGCGGCCGCCGCGCGCGCCTTCGTCCCGGCCGCACGTCCCGAGCGGCCTGCGTTGGGTTCGCGGCCCCCCTCTCCGGAAAACGCCCGCTGGGGCCGGGTGGGGGCGGGGAGGAGCCGCTTCCGCGCCCCAGACATCGCAGGGATCCCGGACGCGGCGCCTGGACCCGGGGTGCCCCGCCGCCGCCGCCGCGGTCACATCGCGCCTGCACCCTGCACCGGCGCCTGCAGATGACCAATCGAGCCGTCAGCAAAACTTTTTAGGCAGTGCACGCTCTCCCCTGCTCGCCATCAGCGTCAAGTCCCTCCCCACCTTCCGGGGCGCAGCCTGCCGCCTCCATCGGATGCCCCTTCCGTGCATCCTCCTGCGCCGCGGCTGCCCTTGGCCAATAACCTGGCCTTTCTGCTTTTCATACACCACTTCATTTTCTAGATTCTTATTTGCACACTTGGCCTCAACGATCAAAACATTAGTATTCTGGCGTTCATTTTTACCCAGTCTGCCCCTCTTCCCTGGCTAAATATTCCTGGGTGTGCTCTTCCAGGCGTTGAGACCCAAGTATACTGTGCTGGCTACTTTGTAATTAGTAAAAAGCCACCGGTTAAAAAACGTATTTTGTACCAACTCCAAGATAATGGCGTTTCGTAAATAGCTGTAAAAGGTGTGTGTGTAGAGATATACTATTTTATATCAAGTCGCCAATCCGTAGGTTTTCTCTGTCATTTTGCCGTCTTATGACTGTTCGTACCCATTTTATCTTGAGTTTGCTTTCCCAAATACAATTGCAACACATAACTACCTTATAAACTAGTAGATGTATAGTAAATACTGGCCTCTATTCTATGTGACTCAAGAGGCACTTGCTTTAAATATTTTCCAGCAAAATTTTCCTTTTTACAGTCACTAGGGCATTGCACAAGCAGCCATTCAAATTAGCAGAGGCCTGGAAAGAAATCAGACTAAAACTAAAATGGGGGGCGGGGGGAGTAGCTTGCTTCAGACTGATTCTTAATAGTATCAAAAAGTTGCCATAACTGGCCAAAAAAAAAAACTTGCCAGGCGTGGTGGCACCTGCCTGTCATCCCAGCGCTCAGGAGGCTGAGGCAGGGGGATCACTGGGTGTTCGAGGCCAGCCCGAACTACATAGTGAGAGCCTGTCTCAAAAATTAATTTTTTTTCAGGTTGCTGACATTTCCAAAATTGCCCTGTTAATGTAATTAAATCCTACATTCAACTTAATTGTTTCGAAGAGGAAATGCCCAAGAGTGTCCCTATTCAGATGTGAGTTTGCTCCCTGGCCCTTCCCAAGCTCAGACTTCCACCTATACAACCAACTGCTTCCTCCTTCCACTACCTTTTCTCCCTGCTTCCACCCGCCTGGCCAGGGTCACACTTCTTGTTTTGTTTTGTTTTTTTGATACCGGAGCTCGAACTCAAGTCCTTGTGCTTGCGCAGCCGGAGGCGAAACCACTGAGCTAAATCCCTGGCCCATGGTCACACTTCTGTCACAACTTTTAACACTGAATTAGACTGGAGCCAAATGTTTCTTGCTGGTAATGGAGGTAACTTGCTAAATTGTTGTGGGAAACCTAGACAGACCATCACAGTGCCTCAAGAAATACATACTTGTCTTCCATCAGATAAATCTAGAGGGTTATGATGGTGAGGCAGCATCTCAGCGTTGTAGACACCCAGGAATAGAAGGCCTGGCTGGTCTTCATATCTGCGAATCTTCACCCTCTTTCCCGTCAGCGTGACATTACCCAACACTGATCAGTGAACTGTCGCGTCCAGATTAGAATGCTGTTCAGTGGTTTTATATAGGCTTCATCTAAAAAGTAACCTATAAATTATGTCTGGTGCCAAACAAATGAACATATGTAGGCTCTCTGGGACAGATGCCCATTTAGTGTTGACCATGTTCGGAGACTAAGTCCTTGCTATCATCTGAGAATCTCCCTTCAGATTCACTCACAGATGCCTGCTCAGACCACAGACATTAGCTTGGAAATGCAAAGAGCCCACCGCCATCACCATCAAACCACGGCTTTGCTGTCCAGCTTACTCCAGAGTAGCTCTCATCTCCACAGCAACGCTTCATTCTGTGGCAGAGAAAAGAAGTCCTAGTTACTGAGTGACATTCGCAGGGTCAGACCACCAGGAAGTGGCAGAGACAGGACCCATGCCAAAGTGTGATGGCAAAGCCGGGTTCTCCCCGCCACACCAAGGTCATTTATGTGAGGTTGTCTGGAGGTCAGGTCTTCACAGAGGTGTCGAGTGGAGTGGGCACTCATCTAAAATGACTCATGGGGCCCGGGGATTTAGCTTAGTGGTTCCGACGCCTGCTGTGCAAGCACAAGGACCCGAGTTCGATCCACAGCAACAAAAAAAAAAAAAAAAAAAAAAAAGACTCATGGATTTACAACAAGGTGAAATGCGAGTGTACAGGCAGACACGTGCACTGGAGAGACTGAGGGAGGGCAGAGGGAAGACAGCCACCTGCAGGCCGAGGGGCACCTGAGGCTCCCGGATGCTGGTGAAGGGGCGTCAGACAGGTTCCCCATCGAAGCCAAGGAAAGGATCGCCCCTGCCCACACCTTGATTTTGGACTGATTCTGGCAACTGCCAGAACCAAAAATGTTGTTTAAGCCATGCCTGGTTTAGGGCCGAGGATTTAGCTCAGTGGTGCAGCCGCCTGCCTCACAAGCACAAGGTCCCAAGTTCAATTCCCGGTACCAAAAAAAAATAAAAATAAAAGCCATACCTGGTTTGTGGGACAGGATGCTGAGGGAAACACCTGAGCCAAGCCCAGATGGACCCTCCTTGGCTTGGCCCAGGTCCCTTGGTAACTGCTCTTGGTAGGAATCATAAACCAAATACTCCAGGGGCAAACAAACTGACATTCATATCTCTGCTCCTCACACCACGCAAGAAGGTGAACAATGTGCACTTCCTCCTAGACTGTGGCCTGGCCTAGAATCAGACACTCCTGCTTTTCTACAGAACTAAGTAAAACCCTTATATAAGCTTCATTGGTTGTTCTTTTTTTGTTTGTTTGTTTGTTTTGGGGCTTTTTGTTTTGGTTGTTTTGAGACAGGGTCTCACTACATAATTCAGGGTGGCCTTGAACTCACTGCAATCATCCTGCCTCAGCCTTCCAACTGCTGGGATTACAGGCCTGCACCACCACACCTGGCTCTGTTCTTATTTTAAAAGTAATTCATGGGCTGGGGTTGTAGCTCCAAGGTAGAGCACTTGCCTATTATGGGCGAGGTCATGGGTTTGATACCCAGAATGGGGAGGAAATTGTGTATATAAAACAGATTAACAGTCCTCTCAAATTTAAAGACCCAATGCAAAAATGGGCATCTGAAATAAAAAGACACTTCAAAGATGAAGAATTAGAAACAGCAAATAAACATACGAAAAAATGTTCAACATCACTGGTCATTTGAGAGATGCAAATTAAAACAATGCTGAGATTCTGCCTCACTCCAGAAAGAATGGCTGCTATCAAGAAATCAACCAATAACAAATGCTGGTGGGGCTGTGGGGAAAGAGGAACCCTTCTCCGCTGTTGGTGGGAGTGTAGACTGGTGCAACCACTGTGGAAATCAGTGTGGAGATACCTCAAAAAACTAAAACTAGAGGTTCCATTTGACCCAGCTATTCCCCTGCTGGGTATCTTCCCAAAAGAATTGAAAGCATCATACCACCAAGAGATATGCACACGCATCTTTATAGCAGCACAGTTTGTAATAGCTAAGTCTTGGAAACAGCTCAGATGCCCAAATTAATGAGTGGATAAAGAAGATGTGTTTTTTAATGCAATGGGGTACTACTCTGCCATAAAGAAGGATGAGCTTCAGACATTTATACCTAAATGGATGGACCTTGAGACCATACGCTTAAGTGAAATAAATCAGACGCACATGTTTAAATACCACATTGTTTCTCTGGTGTGAGAAACTGAAAGTGGAAATAAGGACTGAAGTGTATAATGGATGTTGGGAAATAGGAAGAAAATGTTCAGATGAGAAGGGAACAAGGGAGGAGGGGAGGGGGAAGGAAGGGACAAGGAAAAAAGTGAAAATATAAGGAAAAAATGGAAACAAAGCTTTTGTACATCGGGAGAGGAGGGGGTTTGAAGGAGAGAATGGGATAAAATAAAATTTATTTTAAAAATA